GATCCGTTCTTCTGCTTCATTTAGTCTATTCTTGGTTCCTTCTAGTGTGCTATTCATTTCAGTGATTTTATTCTTCAGCTCTGGGTATTCTTTATATTTTCCAACTCTTTGCTAAAAACTTTGCTGTGTGCATCTGTACTCCTCCTGAGTTCTCTGAACATCTTTGCCATCATTACTGTAAACTTCTCAGATAAATTGCCTATCTGCTCATCACTTATTTCTTCTGGGATTTTATCTTGTGCCTTGGCCTGGGAAATATTCCTCTGCCACTTCATATTGTCTATCTTTCTATTTGTATTTTTAGGTAGATTAGTTACATTTCTCAACCTTGGAGAGGTGTACCCCCAGCAGTACACTCCTCTCTTATCACTCAAGGGCCAGGGTCCAGCCAGTCCCAGTTTAGAGTCTGGCCTGTGTTTGTGGATTCCTTCCACAGGCTTTGGGATTGTTGTTTTCTTATTTCTGGTATCTGCCCCCTGGTGGACAAGGTAGGACTAGAGGCTTATGCAGGTTTCCTGGCAGGAGGAGCCAGTGCCTGCCCATTGCTGAGTGAAGCTTTGTCCTGGACCTCTGGTGGGTAGGGCTGTGTCTAGAGGCATTTGTGGCTTAGGACATCTGCTGATGGGTGGGGCTGTGTTCCCACCCTGTATATTGTTTGGCCTGAGGCTTCCCAACAGGCTGTTGGGTGGGGCCAAGTCTTGGTGCTAATGATCTAGTCAAGATGTCAGCCTCCAGGAAAGCCTATGTAGATGGACACTCCTGGAATGTCTGCCACCAGCTTTTATGTCCCCTCGGTGAGCCGCAGCTGTCCTTTACGTCCCCAGGAGAACTTCCAAAACCAGCAGGCAGGTCTGGCCCAGGTTCCTGTGAAATCACTGCCTCTGCCCTTGGATTTGGTGCACATGAGATTCTGTGTATGCTTCCCAAGAGAATGAAATCTGTTTCCCCCAGTCCTATGGGGCTTCTGGAGATAAGCCCCATTGGCCTTCAAAACCAGATCTCCTGGGATCTCCTCCTCTCAATGCTGGAACCCTGGGCTGGAGAGCCTGATGTGGGGCTTAGAATGCTCACTTCTGTGGGGGGGCCTCTGTGACTTAATTGTCCCTCAGCTTGTGGGCTGGCCACCTGGTGGGTATGGGGTCCAATTATATCGCAAGCACGCCCCTCCTACCATTTCACTGTGGTTCCCTCCTTGTGTTTCCAGTTGAAGAAGATCTTTCTTGTTAGGCTCCAGTCTTTTTTTCCATGGTTGTTTAGCAGTTGTGATTTTGTTATAGCCAGGAGGAGAGATGAGCTCGTGGTCCTCGACCTAGGTATTTTTGACACCCTCTCTCCTACCACACCGTCTAACTTTCATGAAAATTTCATAGTTTAGGAGGAGAAAATTGGCTTTTGTGGAAGGAAGTATTGGTAAAGAGATCTGCTTTCTTTTTCCCACAAGCACTACTCTTCCACTGAGGAGGACTTGGGGCCTATAGCCCTTCCCCTAAATCTTAGACAATCATTGAAAGAATTCTGTAAAGATTGGACCTGTCTGGAAGATGGGATAATTGGTGTGTGTTTTTTTGCCAGTTTGTTCTTTGATTTTTGCTAAATTCTGTGCTGATCCAGGAGAAGTTCTTAGAGGTAGCTGCCCTGAGGAAGGGGCTGCGGAGGATCTTGCATGCATGTAACTTACATGGGCACATGAGTTCCTCATGAGTCAGCTTGAGTAAAGGTGATACACCTGTTTCATTTCTGTTAGCTGTTATCATACAGCAATGCACTGGGATTGAATATAAGCAAAAGAAATGACTGACCTTCAGGATTATGCCCTTGTAAAGCAAGTGACCTCCCCTCATCCTCCATTATCCTTGTTATTGACTGAGGCTAAGGTTGAACCCCTCTAGGGATGGCAGAGCTAAAGCAGAAGAGCGTCACTCGAGCATTCTTGCTGGTGCATTTTCCAAGAGCTGTCCACTGGATTAGGATATCCTAGCAAAGAGCTGATATGTATACGTGAACCTGAGCTACATATGATAGGAGAAGATAGTCCTGGAGGTGGAGTAGGGTGCTTGTAACCTACAGAGCAGAGAAACATACCATATTTTGTGTATGTTGTTCCCTCCCAAGCACCCATCCTTTATCATGTACCCCCAAATATGTTTTTCAGACACCATTAGCCAGCTGGAATTGAAGGCATCAGAGTTGTTAGAAAGAGAAAGAGTCATATCCAGGGGAGAGATTTCATCTCGCCTATGCTGGGAATGGAGGCTGTGTTGCCTTGTTTGCTAGAAGAAGTTGTATTTGAACAATTTCCAACTTTTTCTTTCAAAATAGCATAATCTGTCCTGATATTCTACCGTCTCCAGCTCCTGTTATTTCAAAGGAAGCCATGCTGTCTTCCCATTTGAAACTCCCATGATTGCCTCAAAAGGGAGACTGAGGGGTTTTTTTCCACCACTTTCCTTATGGGCAAATCTCGGCAAAGCCTAAATCCAGAGCATGGCCTGACTAGACCCTGCACTGATATTCAAACGGGAATCTTTTCAAAAATATGTTTCTTTGACTTCTGTCCAGAAGTCTGTGGGTGGGGAAGGAGGTAGGTGGTGATGCCCAACACCTGAGCCCTTGATGGATAAAACCTTGACCTTTTACTTTTGTCTAGCCAATATTGTTGTTCCTACATCTTAAAAAAGGGAAACTTCCTTCCCTGCACACTTGTGATGTCCAGGTGAGCTGCCTTACTTTACAGCTTCCCTGGAAGAGTTGAGTATGGGTGCACCAACTTATACGCAGACAATTCTCAGTGAATGTTAACAAATGAGCAGTATTTTTGTGGGTCTGGGTCAATTAGATCTTCTCCCCCAGACACTCATACCCATGGCTCTTGAGTCACAGGCTCTCAGCCTTCCTTGCCGTGTGTTCCCTTTGTTCTGGGTGGCAAAGTCACAGGAAATTCCGGGACTCATGGGGCAAATGTTTGCTGCAGTTCTGTATAATGGGGCCACCTCCTTCACCACTGGTATGATCTGGTTGGCGCTTCTGCTGACAGCCGTTGCTGAATTCTGTGCTACTGTTTTCTGCATTTGATGTAGCAGTGCTTGAACTGCTTGCTCATCAAGGTTGAGTTGAGGCGGTTTCTTCAGGTAACCTAGTCTGGTGTGTGGGCTTGCCGAGAACAGCCTCCGATGCTCTTCAGCCGTAAAGAGTGTGCAGCCCAGAGGGACACACTTCGTCGACAGGGTTGCTTTGCAAGTACAGTAGTTCAACCGACTGGCTCACTTCTAAGTTTCTGTCTGCTTCAATTTACTGTTTCATGTGGACTTTTGAATTTAGCATCTTCTGATAGCCCGCATCTTGCCTTACTTTTTTCCCCTTAGGTTGCAGATAGTGTAGTTTTAACCATCACTGGCTAAATAAAGATGATCTTAGAGGGAACACATGCTGTTCACATGCAAAATTCTAAGATGGCCCCAGGATCTCTGCCACTGATGTTATGACCACTATTAGTATGGCAAGGGTGAGTTTTTCAGATGTATTTAGGGTCCTGTATCAGTGGCTTCACCTGAATAAGATCACCCTGGTTGGGTCAGACTATGCTGACTTTAGTCACTCGTATAGCAAGAGATTAGCACTAGAGACAAACCACACATTTTCCTTTCCACGTTGATGTAGCTGTGTACTATTACTGACACGACCTTGGACTGTTACCTGTTCATGAATACCCGCTCCCCTAAAGTAGGACGTGGAGAATTTTATGTACGTAGTGTAGATTGGTGACTATGAAGAACTGACTTTCCAGGATTCTTCCCTGAA